TCTTCCCACTTTCTGGGGTGGAGATTTGTTTGGAGTTGATAATCACAAATGGCTGGATTTTTCGTCATTTATTTGCGGGGGAGAAAAAAGGACATGCGAAGGGAAGAGGGAGCATGAGTATGATGTATAATCCAGGAGACGAGTCATATTTCACTGTGACATTTTCAGCAAGCAGTCCTCCCTTTGAGTGCAGAGCCCCTGTTGGGCTGAGATCTGCTGTGGCTTTCTCTGTTAATGCCATTATTAGAGACTTTTTTCTTTCTCCAGCTTGTAAATTTCTGCTGCATTATCATAAAGTGTAGTGATTACTCAGTGTATAAAGACAATAATGATGTGAGCAGGAAAGCATATGCCCAGGGCCTGGAGAACAAGAGCTCAGCGTGATTAGATGAGAGGCTTATGCAAACTTGACACTGCAGCGCCCCCATCTGACCAGTGTAGGAAGTTGTGCGCTCCGTCACACGGGTGTGTGTGTGTGTGTGTGTGTGTGTGTGTGTGTGTGTGTGAGAGAGAGAGAGAGAGCGCGTGAGTGGGTGGTGGTAAAGAAAGCAAGAAAGAGAACAAACAAAAGAAAGGAAGGTAGAATGAATGAGAGCTGAAGATGAACACGGTGTTGAGACTGGAGAATGTGTCTCTGGATGTTGTTTTAAATCTCAGAAGGATGCACAGTTAGCTGCTGCCACTCCGCAAATACCTCCCAAAGTTACCACACCATATGGTCCATATTTCTCAGAATCAGGGCGGCCATATTTCGGCCTTGATGGATATTCATCTGAGCAGTGGGATGAGTGAAGATTCTTGCTTTCTTCTCGTGGCTCAGTGGCATAACTGCATCTGAAGATAATTTCATCTAGACTCTAGACTGCATGCTCTCTCTCTCTCATTGCATTGATAGAAAATATAAAATCAGATAGCATTTATTTTAAAGAAAGTTCACACAAGAACACTTTCAAGCAAATCAGTTTAAAAAAAACAAAAAAGTTAGTTTTAAATGATATATAACATAATACATTCAAAACTTAGACTAAATGTATTCAGACACTTTCTGTTTGTCTAAAGTTGTATGATGAACTACACCCGTGGTTGTTCTACTAGGTCATCTGTGTGAACTTTATGCTTAACTGGCTTCATACTTATACTACAAATCTCTGCAATGTCCGTTGGTTAAAAGTAATTCAAAAAATGGTTCATTAAATTGTTAGTTTAGTTTAGTTTTTTTATCTATTTCATTGTTTGTTTGCAGGTGGCCCTTGCTTTGATATTGTATTAATGCAATAACATTCAGACATTTTTAACTGTCCAGATGCTTTTTAGGGCCACAGTACTATCCCTCATTATAGACGGACAGATCAGAGCACACAAGTTGCCATTTATTTGATGGATAGTGATGCATATCTTTTAAAAGCGACTAAAAACAAAGTGCTTTGTGAAAGAAGAAGCTCTTAACTGCCTGTGCGTGCTCAAAGCTCCCAGACTGAATGAATTCAAAGGGCCCGAGGTGACCCCTTGGCTTGTGATTATGTTTGTGTAAAATCTTAAGGATGCCGATCAAAGCAAGGCTCTTGTCCTCCTGCCCTTTTTTTTTTCCAAAAAAGGCCCAGATAACAGCTGGCATTCAAACAAAGTTTTCCTTTAACTTTTTTTTTTCTGCCGGGATTCCCATTATGAGGCAGGCCTCCTTTCTCATCTTGAGGATGGCTCATTGAATAAAGAGAAAGAGAGGAGTGGATGGGAGGGGAGGAAGTGGAGGGAGGGCTCTGATTAATCTTCTTCCAGGGTGGGGGTGTTTGATCAGTGGACTTGGCCCGGGAGGAGTGGGATGGTTAGGAGAGAGGGGGTATCTCTGATGTTGACAGCAGGCGACTTTTGCGCACGGCATGTGATTGACGTGCCTGGCCACTGGGCCGGAGGGGGGGTGCTCTGTGACCGGTGGGGCATAGCCAGCCCCTGTCTGTGGGTGGTGGTGTTAATAATGTGGCAACTGGGAAGATTAATTGTAGACAAGCAGCAGGATTACGAGCGGCTTTGTGGCTGGGACAGGGCTGCTTGGTGGGGAAGGCCTCTGATCTGTCAGGTCCAGAGGAAATTAGTCAGGGCGGACTGAAGCTGACACTAAAAATGCTGCTTTAGGATATTAAAGCCAAACGGCCAGAGGAGATTGAAATGGTAACAAGGAAACTGCTGACGTACTCTGAAAGCCTGATGCAGCTGCACCCCACTGGATTTGTGTAATTAGGACGATAATTAGTCATGTGATAACAATGGGGGGGGGGTAACTTGGTAACTATAAACAGCCTGCAGATAGTTAACCTTTGGAAGAATGTTTTGGAATGTTTTATTTTGATTTACAATTGTTAATAAAGCAATAAGCCCCAAGAAGCAGCTTCACGGGGTTTATTGCTTTTATAAAACGGTTATTCCATATACGTAGTAAGGTTTCACAGAATAAAACAGAGCAAATAATGTGTAATGATATAAATGAAAACAGTATTCTTCCACCAAACAATGTAGTTCCTCAGAAACAGTTGTGGTTCCAACAAAGTGGTTGCCGAGCAACACACAGAAGTAAACAAAGGTGTATGTTTGTAGTGCAATTTACAACAGCTTCGAACGCGGCTCAACCAATCAGAATCAAGGACCGGAACTATCCGTTTTATAATATGCATTGAACATTGGTGTCTATCCACTGATCTATATAATGACTGGATTGCTCATTGCGTTCTAAACTGCCACCGGAACGGTTCGAGTGGCCATCTTACTATTCCCTACCGGCAGAGAGCCTCATTGACTGACAGTTAAAACCTTGACCTAAAATCACTCGATTTGAAGCTTATCAGTCACACAGGATTAGCACAAATTTTATGGCGTTTTACTAGCATTACAGTTTCCAGGAGTAAAATGTTATGTTATGCATGTTAAAGTAATTATTATTTTAACCAATGTTTAAATCATTAACTGCTTCAAATGCATGCTGTTAATAAAATCATTGTTGAAACATTTGCCTACTTTACGAATAAAAACGCTGACTCGTTAGTTGATGTTTTCTCATTAAAACGGGATGATTTCCTATTAAAGGGGTCATATGATGTTGCTAAAAAGAACATTATTTTGTGTATTTGGTGTAATGAAATGTGTTTTAAGCGTTAATGCGGTTTAAGGTTGAAAAAACACATTATTTTCCACATACTGTACATTATTGTTTCTCCTCTATGCCCCGCCTTTCTGAAACGCATCGATTTTTACAAAGCTCATCGTTCTGAAAAGCGAGGTGTGCTCTTTTTGGCCAGCTATCCAGTGCGTTGTGATTGGCCGAATACCTCAAGCATGTGATGGAAATGTTATGCCGCTTACCATATTGTGATGCCCTGTCCGGCTGGAGTGACGACACAAAAACATTAAAACCAACAAAGAGAAAGGAAAAATTTTAATCGCATCATATGACCCCTTTAATTCAATAGAGTGTAATACTAGGGAATACCAATATGGCGGTGCAGTGGCTTCACTTTTATGACGTCATGAGCAATCCAGTTCTCTATTATAGATCAGTGTGTCCATCATAAATATTGCTATATTTACACTTTTTCAATTTCAGTCAACTTTATTTTATTATAATTTTGCTTAATGTAAATACTTAATACTTTTATTCAGCAAAAATAAAACAATCAAATAAATGCTGCTTTTTGAACTTTCTATTCTGAAAATCCTGAAAAAAGAACCACTTTTTTCCACAAAAAAATATAAAGCATCACAACTGTTTTCAACATTGATAAGAAATGTTTCTTGAGCAGCAAATCAGCACATTAGAATGATTTCTGAAGGATCATGTGACACAGAAGACAGAAGTAATGGCTGCTAAAAATCCATCTTTGCCATCAATAAATAAATTTTGTTTGAAAATATATTCAAATAGAAAATGATTTTAAATTGTAAGTGTAAATGCACCCTTGGTGAGTGTAAGATACTTCTTTCAAAAACAAAAAACAAGTCGTACCAACCCCAAACCTTTGAACGGTATATGAATAATACATTCTCAGCACTAAGCCGAGTGTTTTCAATGAATGAAATAAAAATAGGCCACCTCTACTCTGTTTATTTTTCATTTTAGCCCTCACAATGATTAAATGCTCTGAGAATTCCTGCCTGCAGAAGAGCAGAATATTTTCACAAAGGCATCAGATATCAACACATCATGATATACTGTGTTTTTGGTCCTTGAAAGAAGACAAAGGAGGTGGAGAACAACACTTGTGACCTACCAGAAGCACACAGGCGATCTGTATTCTCTCCAGCTGTTCCCCTGTTCTGTCTGTCTATGCTGTGGCCTTTATGTGAATATATTTGTATTTTTAAGGTCGGCCAATGAGAGATGAGTTTACTTAAACTCAGGTCTGGCCTTTGGAGAGCAGTAATTTCATGCCACCTGTTAGATTGTCAACACACAACAGCGTGTGTTGGTGAGTGGCAGGCTGACCCGTGCCTGACGCGCGGGGCTTTTCATGGCTGAATGGTGACTGGGGCCCTTCCCCTGGTGGCCCCCTCTCTTAAACAGGCGGGGGACAGGTAATCAAAGCCATGGCCCGTCCTCACCTTTCACTCGCCTCCCTGCAAAATAATGAAAGTTGCCCTCGTCCTGCACCCCTGATAAAATAAGAACGCCGCTCCTAACATTTCCTCTCCTTGGGGCTGATAAAATTTATGGCATTTAGACAATCAGTCATGGCAGTGAAATCTCACCCATATTCTTTGGTTGTCTCTCACCCCGCCGTGCCTTTCTATTCTCTCTCCCTTTTGTGTCATCTATCTGGGAAAATATTCTAGATTGCTTGTGACAAATGAGTTATTTTGATTTAACTCAATTAGGATCATTGCATACAGAAATCAAACACCAACATTTCTCCTGTCTGTCTTGGATAATGAATAGTTGGAGACGTTATAAATGTTCACAGGTGTGTAAACGGAGTATGCTGAATTCATGTTTGTCCAAACTCTTTTTCTTTCAGGACACCGCCAGTGATCTGAGATCCGAATCCACCGCTACGTCATACACCCCACTGCCACAAGGATCCAAAGATGCCCGAAACCACAAAGGTAGTGTTATTTAGACAAAAAAGTGCGATGACGCACTATTCTTGAATGACAGGTATCGAAACAAACGTACACTCGATTGCTAATAGAAGCTGTGCTGAAAATATCGTTTTGATGTGCTGGACTCTATAAGAGGCTTTCATGCCGGCCACATTTATCATGCTCTGTTGTCTGTGCAATGCAAAGCACTGTTTTTATGTCACGGCCATGGCGGTGGTACTTTCATGCGAGGTCAGCTGTGTGCCTCTCAACCCCCCACCAAGGACAGATCTATTTCACAAAGGCTGACCTGCACCTCTCAAGTGATGTAGAGGAAAGCCCAGTGCTTTGTCAAAATCATGCTGCTTGAGAATAGTCCATTAAAAGGTGAACGGAGCTGACATATGAAATATTTTTTCTCCTTCTTAGATTTGGGCGAGCTGACACTTTCCATTTGTTATTTTTACGATACTGTACTGCAGCATTAGATAACACAAGCCCTCATCTTTGTCCTTCGCTTCTTTTTATACCTCTGCCTTTATCACGCCATTTTTATTTATCTTGACTTATTGCCTATTCTATTTGCTTAATGCATCGGCTCTGACACTGTAACTCTTTACTAAAACTCACCTTTGGCTGTGCCATGAAAATGCTTTAATAGAATAGCCATGACACTAAAAGATGCAGTTCACCTCCAAGACACTGTCAGTGGAAGTCGGGCATTGTGTTTGGATTGCCGATAATTCATTGGGCGTCTGTGTAATCGTATTGCAGTGCAATAATTAACTGCTTATATAGTGTAGTATTTTGCTCTTAAAGGAGTAGTTTGCCCACAAATTACAGTTTTGTCATAATTTACTCACAGTGGGGTTCAAAACAACACTGACTTTCATTGTACGAAAATAAATGAATAGATACATAAATAAATAAATAAATACATGCATACATACATAATCTACTGGTTTAGAATGACATGAGCATGAGTAAATGATGAATTCTCAATTTCGGGTGAATAGTTTTATGCAGTAGAATGGCTGAAATTAGGGCATGCTTCCATAGGTAAAAGCCTAGGCCTGTCATGTTTGCTATATGTTACTAGCTGCCTTCCAGTGGCCGGCAGGATTAGCGCCATATATGACAGCAGGCTGTCTCAAACAGGGGCCCGCTCTACCTTTTCTCAATATTTTTACAATTGATGTCACCTGCGCCAGGCCCCCAGAGCCAAGGTGCCATGGGTAATTACAGCAGACAGAAGGTCTGTGGAGGGAAGAGGGAGGACCAGCTATATGCATTGCACAGGAGCTTCTTGGCTTTGGGTTGTAAGACCCTTGTCTGCTGTTTTGGGGGGAAATTGGGAAGTGGACAAACAGCGACCAGACAGGAGAGGCTCAGAGGAGAGAAATGGAAGAGGGAACAGCAGAAGCTAAGAAAGGAGGCAGGCCTGGCGTGACATGGAGAACCATGAGAGTCTGGAGACGGAGGGGGGAGAGCGTGGCCGCAGGAAGTAACGCTGCTGTCAGCTCCCACCAGCTTTAAACCGGCCTGTCGCCTGAACCTAGCCCAAAGTTTCTTTCAAGAGACAAATGTCATCTTAAAGGAACAGCTCACCCAAAAATGATATATTCATCCTCTTGTCATTCTAAACCTCTATACTGTTTGTTTTTCCAAAGAAAAAAATCTTCCCGCAACAATTGTATTTACAAATGATGGTCCTGTCAAGCTCCAAAAGAGTATAATTTGAAAATTTGATAAAATGTCAAGTAAAAGACTTTCAGTGAACATAATAGGTGCAATAGCTGCATGATTAATCGATATAAAAGCAATATGCCATATGGATTAGTGGAACTGTCCATTCGCAAAGGCTTTGATGCGCTGCGTGTTTCAGAGTGAAGTGTGGCACTGTGTTCACATGAGCAGCTCATGATCTGCTGCGGTGAATCTGGGACCAGCTCAGTTTGCAGTAAATTCTGCTACGCACAAACTCATCTCTGAATCTGCTTCAGTTTTGGTTGATTTAACGTGCATTTGGGAATGCAATATACGCCAGCAACATAATATATCCATTATAATTTTAGATTACAATCACCATTTTTATCATTTTTTTTACATTAATCATGCAACCCTATTATACGCTATATTTTGTTTGACTTTTTTGGGGGGGGTGAACTGTTGCTTTAAATATAAAGCTCCACCTCTAAACCAGACTACATGAGACAATGTTTGTCTTTCCACAGGCACAAATACATACAAAAATAAAGTGGAGCCACCACTCTCACTGCTGTCACATTCTTGATAGCCATATTAATAACAATCATCATGACAGGTCACACAACTGCCCTGGAACTTCATACATAATTGAAATGGAAAATATACAAATCCTCATATACATCTCTAGACATATAAAGCAGCAACCACCACTTTTGAGTTCCCATCATTCATCTTCACCATGGCAAGCGAACCAGAGGCCGTCGAGGGTGAAACCGTACTCCTCCATCAGCCGTGTGCGCGCCGCCTTTAAACGCTCCTATTCTGGGCTTCTGGGCCCTGCTCCAGCTGAGTTGACTGTATTTTAAATGGCACACAACTAAACCCTTGAGGCGGGCAGCCTTCAAAGAGGAAATCTTAACTGAAGACCCCCCAGGGACCATGCATTTTTTTTTTCCTACAGTTTGCCGTCATTATGCTGCCGCTGATTTGCAGCCCCAAAACGGGACTGCATATGAAGAATAAACGACTTTACACTTGTGGTACAACAAATAAACAAACATCTGGAACCGTTCAGAGGGGCGCCATTAAAACAGTACATTTCTTGCCCAAAATGTGAAAATGATGACAAATGTGCTGTCACAGAGACTGGGAGAGGCCAGATGATGGAGCAGTGGGTGCTAAGCACCGACTTTTAGAGCTCAGCAGGACTGAGAGAGAATTACACCTGCTGTTTGTCTGCCTACCCTCCATTAACTTACATCTGGATAGCGTGCATCACTCAATTACCAAATTCTGGATCTGTACCCACATTGTTTAGTTAAAATGCCATGTTTAACATACAGCCCTAGACAGAGATATTTATGCCAGCTATCCTGTGTAATTGAGATAAATTTGATTGGTGTTGTTGATGTGCTATTGCTTGTCTCGTTTTACAGCCCAGTGGATATGCAATAGCCCCAAGCTTTGCCTTTGGCAGAGTTGCCTCTTAATTATGGCCTGTCGAGCAGTTGTTCCTCTTTGCTGTTTCATAAGCATGAGTTTGCATGTGTGCATACTGCATATAACTGAATCCTGCAGACCAAACTGCATGGTAAGCTTGTTGAGCTGTCATTCTCTCTTCCAGGCAGTGTGTGTATCAATATTTGTATGCACCTTTAGAATTTTATATTGGAAAAATGCTTGTACGTGCTCAATGAGATTCTAAAGGTTCTCTCGTGATGATTGTAACAGTAATGTTTTTCCCTTGACGAGTGTTATTCTCAAACCAGCTCCAAACTTTGGCCCTGTCAGGCATTATGCTGACATTATGATGGAGATTTTGGAATCCTGATTTATTTGCTGTCTTATTGGTATTTTTAAGAGACTGGTTATTTAATAAGCACTGCGAATGTATGCACAGAAGTGGTCTACTGTATTTCCTAAAAAATGCAAGAATATAGTTGCACTGTATTTTCAGTATTGAAATAATTAGGGATGCATGATATATCAATACCATATTGGTTATTGGCTGGCTTATATTGTACATTTAACTGTACATGCTCATTTCCCATATTATTACATTTAGATTACCTTTGCCGTCATCTAACATACACTTAAAATTACTTTGTAAGAACACTAATACCGCTGGTAGATGTGAATTTTTGCAGATGAATGTTTTCATGAATCGGTTTTCATATGTACATTACATTATAATGTTTATTATAATGTTATAGTTTTTATTGGTAGACAAAGAGTAGAATTGATCAGTTATCAACCATAACATTAAAATAATTCACATTTTATTAGTATTAGCCAGAATTGTAATGTTTGCACATCCCTAATAATTATACAGTACAATTAATATTTCAGGCAGCATAAATATCCTACCTTCTACCTTTTGAAACAGGTTTCACACTAGGTGGACGCCTATGATGCTCTGAAATGTGTTGCCTATGTAAACAGCTCAGTCTTTTGGAACAGAGTCAATAATAAATCTGAGAGTAGCTATTTTATTTTTTACAAATCATAAATTTGTTGACCACAGGGTTATGTTCGTGCCTTTATAAGAAAGGATTGAATATGAAATCCATTGCTTCATTCCTGAAGAGAATGTCGTGTGTTTATTCCCTTGCATAGTTTTTGGCCAAATGGCTAACATATGTTTTCAGTTGATCTGGATGAGGGAGAACTGTCTTACAGATATTTTTGCTGCGTGACAATGTTATGATCCAAAGGGTTTTCCAGTCCTGATGAGGTGTTTAGGATCTCTGTATAATGAGTTTGGGGTGTTTTGTGGCCATTTAAAGCCCCTTTATAAAACACACCTATAATTTCAGCTACAGCTAAGTAATGAGCTCCTATAAAACATGAATGGCCATCACGCAAGTTTATATTGACTTTCAGATTTACACCTCGACTCTCCTCAGATCAGGTGCCAAAACATAATAGATGGAAAAGAGGTCAGTATGATATTGATTCATATTAGTCATTTGATGTAACTCCCATACATCTGCTTTGGATATCCTTGGTCTTCTACAGCCCTGATTAATTGCTTGTAATGGCTTTCAATCCATCTGTGGGAGACCGCTGCCTTAAGTTGACTCCTACAGGCCTGTAGGTTTGTATAGGAGCTGCCAGGGTCTGATTTTTGGGCCTCTCTTTGTGAGAACTGCTTTTGTTTCCTTTGTCGGAGAGAGATGATATGATATGATTTCTCTCAAGAGGTTGTGGTGGGCCTCTCAGGACTGCTTTGGCACAGGAGCATGAATATCCATTAGTCTGCAGATGGAGATTAATGGAGGAAGACAGAAGAAGAGCCAGACTGTTCCAGCCATTCT